TATTTATTCTTTTTTTTCTATTTATAGATTCTTTTGTTGTTGTTTGGCTCGAGTCATTGTTTTATAGGTCGATGACCTTTGATGACTCTCACTTTTCGTGAATAAAATTCATTCATTCATTCATTCATAGACAGATTCGTCTCTTCTCATCGATTCGCATACTTCTCATACCAATTCGCCGTTATTCTTACGAATTCGTAAAATATGGCATGTTGTGTAAATACTCACAGCCATCCTCACTGCCCCCCGCCCCGCTTAGTACATGCATACAAAAGGGAGAGAGATTCCCGAATCGAATTCGTACACGAATTCTTGGGGACCAAAATGATCATTTCACGAATTCGTCGATGGTCGACCAATTCGATTTACGAATTACTGGTACTGGAAATTTCTTTCTTACAAATTCGTCCTAATTTACGAATTGACAAAAGGAAGAAAGGACGCAATTTTTTAGTTCGTTTTTGATCATTTTTGTTAATTCGCATCAGTTGGCATTGAATTACGAATTCGCAAAACAATGGTAAAATGCGAATTGTTGTATCATTTTTACGCCCAAAAATTGCGATTCGTCAATTCGTCTTTAGACACTGTCCACACTAATGTAAGTAAACGCTTGAGCGAGAAGCATTTGTTTCAGATCCTTTTCTCAATCCTACTTACACCATGTAAAAACGACAAAATCTTGATTTTTACATTTCTGAAATCTTCAAGTATTAAGTATATGGACTAAATCCTTCCATATCTGATAGAAAGTTCCCACAGTTTGTAAAGCAGGTTTTCTTTTATATATTTGGTATCGGACTTCGGTGGAGTCCCAGGACTGGCATTCAGTGGCTTGGGGTGACCTTCACATTGCATGGATTATACGTAATCGATCACGCTGAATCTTACAAAACTCGATGGTTTAACGAAAGGATTTCTGAAAAGCTTTTGAGCAAAAATATGGTTTTCAACTTTCTCGATAATATAATCATGTTTACCAGACAAATTTAGTCATACCCTGAAGTTTTGAGCTTGTTTTGTTGTTTTTTGATTGAATTGCAAACTTTTTAATATTAGCTGAAAACAACCTGGAAATCCCAGTTTTTGTAAAACTAAGTTTTCATCAGATTCCGTCCTAAACAAACACTGCCACGAGGTTCACCGTGGTCGATTACGTATGATCCGTGCGATCTAAAGGTCACCCAAAGCCACCGAATGGCAGTCCTAGGACTCCACTGAAGTCCGATACCAAGACCGAACCCCTTAAAATCAAGGTCTCACTTGAATTCCATTTTGAAGAGGATACTTTAGCTCCATGAAAAAAAACCAACGTATTTTTATTATAAGTTTTGTGGTAATAACATGGTTTTTCTAAGATCCTCTGGGAAATCTATTTTGAAAGAAGATTTTTAAAATGACGTTCGTGGTGAAAAGATGTGGCCAGGTCTTGGGTTCCAATTGGTGGAGAGCGCAAGTCTCTAGCACTTTTCTGTCAAACATTCTTCAAAAAACATCCGAGTCCATTCTTTTTTTCCCGAGAATAGTACCATTACCTGCCAATAGTAGGTAACTTCTAACAACAGAATTAGACACACATTTGTAAATAAGTAACTGTTGCAGCACCGAATTTGTGTTATTGAACAGGTGACCACTTCCTTGCAATAAAGAGATGCCGAACTCAAGGAAGAAACGGAAAATGAAGATATAAGTGAAAAAGTATGTATTTATCGTCGATATATATACCAATCAGTAGTAGTCCATGTTTTATCGTTCGCTCCTATGACCACTCTATTTGTCAACAAACAGAATTGAGGATAAAGAGTATAAGTCGAACAGACGAAGATAGTGTTAGAAGGAAGTTGTAAAACACAACATCATACATAGCTATTTTCCCTTTGTCATGTTTTGTTTCGTTGCTCTTATCCAACGTATCCACAAAAACTGAATTTTAAAATTCTGTTATATAATAGTTTTGGCAAAATTAATAAAAACCATAAATTTAGGAGCAATATTTCTAATGAAAAGTTTCTTATTTAGAAGACAGATGGATTTGGAACAGTGAGAGCACCAATTCTCTGTTTCTCTGTTATATTCATTTAGTCTTGAAGTTTATACTTATTTCCTAACTCTTCCCCACCGTAAATATCTTTATCATACCGTATCATATCTCATGAGGTAGTGAGTCACAAGGCATTTGTTCACGAGGCACCACTGTTTCTATCTGTCTTTCCTTTGTTTATATTATGACGAACAGAAATGAGTCATCAGTCAACACATTGTCTAAATTGATCACAATTCTCTGGAAAACAACAATGTATACATAGATTTTGGCATTAAAAATAGTTCTTAGAAGTTCCTAGCTGGAGATGAGATGAACTTCCTTATATCTTCAAACAAACGTTACACCGGATATATATCGGATAGAAAATTTACTATAGAGAAAGAGCCTGTCGACTTTTAAAACAATCTTATGATTAAAACTTCTGTAGTGATTAAAAGTTGAGTATTTTGTTGAGACTGTATTACTAAAAGACAGCGCAAAAACTTGAAAAGTCCAAAGGCATCGAAAAAACCATAACATATATATTTAGTTTTTAGAAAAATAAATGTCGTCGTCTTCCTCCTCTCATTATCAGTCTTCGTACGTAAATCCCACAGCTACTAGTTCGACAAATCATTATGCCGGCTCATCTACAGGTCGTTCGTCTACATCGACAAACAACAGTGATAATCAAATTCGTCGCGATATTCAAGATGATTGGCAACGACGAGAAGGTATACAAATATTGACAACATCAATTAAACGTTTAACAGATTTTCTAAATCAATTTGGTATGTTCAAGAGTAACGTGAGGTATCTAAATGTCACCTCTATACTATTCATTTCTAGAATCTTCGTGTCGTTATCGTTTATCAACGTTAAATGAAAAACTGACATCTTTAGAGAGACAAGTTAATTATTTAGAAGCAAGAGTATGTTTACAAATTTTTTTTAAATCGTCTAAACCGAGTTCATGTATTACTTTGTTTCTTTTTTCTTGTTTTAGGTGAGCAAAGGTGAAACATTGAATTAAACAAAAAAAGGTTATTATACGAAAACAATATAATTGAGTGTTATATCCTTTTGTTCTGTCAGATATTTACGCTTTAATGCAATGTATCTCTCGCTTTTTTTCTATTATTGATATGCATCTAATCTCTTTTTGCTTGTATTTTTTCACTTTTCTATCTGTATTAAACAATGATAAATGTCAGAATATTTACAATTGTTTTTTAACTATTTTGTTTCTTCCATATTGACGATTAAAAGTGAGCAATAGCTATCTCTTTCACGAATGAGAATAGAGAGTTGTTGTGGATGTCGATGATGTATCTAAAGAAAAACCGTCGTGTATCCTATGCTAATAAGACTATGAAAATATTCAACGAAAAGCATAGTTATATGTTACTATGTCCTTTTTTTTAACATAATTATTCTTTTTAATTTCAGATAAAACGGTTTAGAAAGATTTTTCCATATTCTTGTTTTCTGCTTAAAACCATTTTCAGAATTTCTATTACATTAAATATGAGTTATCAAATGCAAGGTAAGTTAAATGTGAAGATCATTTTCGTTGGTTTTTCTATATTTCCTGCTTTCAGAAACTCCGCTTCCTAACTTCATAGTAGCGAGGAGTTGAAGTTGTATACTCAAAATTCCGTGGTTTTCGATGTTTTTTTAACTATCCCCCTCTCCTAGTAGGTCTAATATTCACCTTAAATTATAACTGAACAAAAATGTTATTAGCAATCGAATAATCAAGGTTACAAAATAAATCAGAATTGAATCGTTATGCCGAAAAATAAAGACTAATTTATTTTTTATGAGGCATACTCAGTTAAACTATTAAATAAAGGGTATAGGAGTTTCACAATTCTAGTCTCGATAAGGGATGCCATGACAAGGTTTTTTTTATCATAAATTAGCTGTGAGAAAATATGTGGTTAGATTAAAGTCTTTTTTTACGACTCGGCAGATACTTATGTTGTTTTTGTTCTGAAAATGAATTTTTTTCTTTATATTCTCTAGGCAATTCAGAGATGTACGAGGTATGTGTATTTGTTATCTTTCTTTAATAGTTTGCAGTTGGTTTCAGTTTGATTCTGTTTTTCAGGAAGTTCGTCTATGGAAAAATCCACGTGAACGTGAACGGTATGAAATTTAACAGTAATCCTGTAATATATCTATTATTGTATATTTTTTTCTCATTCTAGTTATGATAATATGGCTGATGTCTTTTCGATTATAACAACGTTGCAAGCTCTAGAGAAGGCTTATATTAAAGATGTTGTTGAACCAGCAGAGTATGTTGTTCTCTATTTAAATGGTTATGTTTATACATGACGTTTATTTATCATTAAAAGTCGATGTTCTTATATCTTTCTTGAAAACTGTTATCTCCAGTTGGATAGTAATAATCATCTTTTAGAAATCAACTGTTTAACATTTTATTTTTAAATTAAGATATACAAAAAATTGTGAAAAATTATTAGCAAAATTCGCTGCTGCATATCAACAAATCGAAAGTGAATTTCCAACAATAGATAACTTTATTCGAAAATATAAAGTATGTTCATAGCTGAAATATTCTATTTACAATGTACAATATTTCCTTCATTCGGGTATATATAGCTTGATTGTCCTGCTGCCACATTACGAATTCGTGAAGGACGGCCAATAACCGTTCGTGATGATAAAGGAAATATGGGAAAAGCTATTGCTGAAACAGTCATGGTACGTTATCATACTACTATCTTGAGTATTATTGATAAAAAAACTATGTTTTCTCTCATTTCAGTTATTCATCACACTCATGGACAAGTTAAAATTAAATATCAAATCTAATGATATGGTATGTAGATTCAAAGACACGATTGAATATGTGTTCGAATAATGCTCGAGACAAGATATTTAAGATTAATCGATAAATTAGGAGAGGATAGTTTTATATAAGTAGCAGCAAATGTCTTCTCATCGTTAGTTAGATTTATAAACATATGGCTAATCAATTGCTATTATTCATAGTTTTATTAATCATTTAGTATATCTTACTTGTTCGTCTGCATTCTAGCTTCAACAAGATGTTCGTGAATTATTAGATGTAATAAATCGTTTAAATTTGATTCCATCAAATTATGTTGGTCGTGAAAAAATTCCAAAATGGTTATCGATTTTAAAACAAATGGATGCCGCTCAAGAAATTACAGACGAACAAGTTCGACAATTTCAAATGGATTTAGAAATATGTTACAACGAATTCAATCGATTATTATCGACAAATACTTAATAAATAACAGAAAATCTAATGTACAGACTCTTTCAATTTTTTCTTGTTTAAATTATGTGTATATGTATCGTGTTGTTCTTTTGTGTATGATTTTAAAAACAGCAGCGCTTTTAAAAAAGATTGAGTTGGAATTTATTATAAACTAATCGGCAAACATCTCCGCGTACAACCAAAGTTAAGGGATAAAGGATGCTTTGGAACATGCTTATGAACGATAAAGATTCTAAACATTTTGACGAATGGATAGTAATTTAAGCAAGACTGTAATAACAGCAGATTTGAGAGAGATCAGTTTATTTGGCGACATTTCATTCCTTAAGAAGGGAAACTACCCACTCAGCTTTTCCCACTAGTTTGTAGAGAACACTTTGAAATATCCCGAAATTGTTTTCGTGTACCCGGCCTGTAGTTTTATACGTTTAGTCTTGGTTTTTGTTCCATTTTTAAAATTTTAATAAACTTTTCATTTTTGGACAAAAAATCTTAAATCTGTTGCCGTTCGATAAAGTACGCCGAGATGTATCTACTGGAAATTTTTTATTGTTGTCGGATCAAATCTAACGGAGAAATTTAGGTTTGACTCGCCCGATCTATTTTTGATGTAAAAAGTATTTTTAAGAATGCCCTAAACAGGGTTTTACATGACAGAAGCATTTTGGAAGAAAAGTGTAGAAATAAAAGTTGTTCACGATCAAATTCTACATGGATTGAGAGAGGGAATTTTCGAAATTCCTATAGCTCGATTTTTAAATTAAATTTTCAGAAACAGTATTCTCTAATTTAAAAATCAAGTTATACGAATTTTGAAAATTCCCTCGCTCATCCCATGTAGAATTTGATCCTGAACAACTTTTATTTCTACACTTTTTCTTCAAAAATGCTTCCCTGAATAGAAATTTGGTTCAAGCGTTTTTGATAATTGGATCTCTGAAAAACTGAGCATAAAAAATTTTCTTCTATGTCAATTTTTAATGTTGCTATCCGTTTCAGCACGTTAAATTATTTATGTTCTGCGATTTTTACGTCTCTTGGACACTTTCATCTCACTTGGCAAGAAAGTTAGTTTTAGGACTAAGTTTAGTCAGGTGTCGTAGCTCTGTCTAAGTTTCGTACTTTTAACTTTAAAAATCTGCCTGTAAGAGTTCCACATTAATAACGGTATTTTCTTATCAGAGGTGCAGAATCTCCCCACGAGATTGCAAAATTTCCCTCATCGGAAAAAGTTTTTCAAAAACTTCTTCAACATAATCCAAGAACAGAATTTTTTTGCAAAATATTTGCAAAAAGAAATTCCAATTTTTCAAAAAATCTCCTCCGAATCAATTAGTTTTGCCTCGACGACCGTCGGAGCAAACAGACAGATTCTGCAGCTCTATTTCTTATACAAAACAAGATTCTGAGCGAAATTTTTGTTGCTACAGTTTTGCTCAAAAATGCCTTCTCGACGAGAAAGTATCTAGAAACCTAAAAGAGCTAAAAGAGCTTTTGTACTAAAAACCCATTTTCCAAGTGATTTTAAATATTTCTCTGCCAATCTTGTCCGATAACGATGAAACTTTTTGCACATATACATCTCAGTCTGCTCTATCGAATGACGTCAAAAATGAATTTCAAAATTGAAATTTAGAAACTTTTTAAATTTTTAAAAATAGGCCAAAATAAACCGAAAATTTGTAAAATTTCAATAACTCGGTCAGACAATGTTTCTAAGACCTAAAAATTTTAGAATGGTATCCTCTACAAACTGACAAAGTTTGAGCGAAATCTAAATGGATGGATGTCCGTCCTTAAGTAGGTCATTATCAAGGAGTTTAAATGAAAAGGTTAAAACATATAAATATGAAAATAGAAATAAATGATAATGTTTATGTACGGAAAGAGATAAAAATGAAGAATAACTTATTTTCTTTCCTTCTTGCTATCTAGTAGCCACAATGTGATAAACTCTAAGAAAAAGTGTCGATAAAATTTTTTTCTGCTTAATTAATTCTGACGCACACTGTATAAGTTTCTTTTCGACTTATAGAAACTTTTCAATGTCGAAAAATCAAATTCTTCCAAAAGCATCAGCAGTTTTGCTCAAAAATGTATCAAAATCAATATTTTTTGTTGAAATCTTTAAACCAACCAACATCTTCCTTAAAATAAGAGCGTAAAAAATTGAACTGGTTGGTATATTTTTCGATTCTACGAAGTTGATTTTCAATATTGAAAAATTAATTTGTTCAGAAAAACAAGAAACTATTATAGAAAACATCAAGCATATTTAAATTCGTTCAATTATTTCGACATCTGTTATTACACTAACTCCAAACACAGGGCTGAACAAATAATTTCCAGTAGTAAACAAAATTATCGTGGTAATCGAAAAAAATTGAACAGTTTTGGCATACAGGTGATTCAAATGACGCCATGGAATGATGGACAAAAGATACATTTCTCTAGAAAACAATTATGAAAGTACTTTGTACTGAAAATCTTGCATTAATATGTAGCCATTCTACTACTATATGAATATCAAAACCTCATTTCGTTCCATAATTAATTGTTGAAGTATTTTATTGATCATTCTTTAGTAAATCGACTTTATGTTTAATAAATTTTATTATACACACTGATCACGTTATTCACTAGTGAACAACGAAAGCGTTTTCTACATTCTTCACATATATATATTTTACAATCATCTGGAGAATTTTGACTGTCAATAGAAAATTCATATATATTTTGCTTTTCTATAGACGATTAAACAGAGTTGAATAATCTGCATCTTAAAACACGCTCACGTTTTATGACGTTTAAATGCATGATATAATCGTCGTAATACCTTGTCTTTTTCTAAAAAGATTATGACGAATGAATAACCATGACTTTTCTAACTATAATTTTTCTAAGTAGACTCATCAATTTCATACTTCGTATAGCTTAGCAAAACTTTTTTCTCAAGACTTCCTCCTAAACGCATGTATTTGAATGAGTGTCAGTGTTAAAAACATATGATACGTGTGCTTAATAAATACTACATCTAAATCAGATCAGAAACAAAATCGAATGTTTTATATAGCCATTCTCTGTCATTTCATATAAGAGTATCAGGATTTTACTTCATTCTATTTGTCAGACTCTCAATTGTTCAAAGAAAACTGTTGAAAACTCAACATTTTTGAATGATATTGCAAAATCACATCAAGATATTACTATGTTTTCTAACTTTTACCATTTTCTAGAAATTGGAAATGGAATAAAAGTGGTTTACAAAAAAGTATTGTCAATAAACAGAGCAACAATAATAATAACAATCGAAAAGATTATCGATAAATATCAGAAATTGTAGAGAATCTAAAATGGATACTAGGACATATCCAGGGACCTGAGTAGGTGCCGGACATTGGGGGGGGGGGGGGGGGGAACAAAATTTTTTTTGGCGGAATTTTTTAAAATTTTTTTTTTTCAATTTTAATATTTAAATACCTTTTTAGTTTTTTTTTAAATTTTTGGGGCGGCCCCCCCCCCCCCCCCCCCCAAATTCAGATATCTGGATATATCTACCATTCCTGAAATACATGATCCAATTCACACTCTTTGCTTATGCTTTTGAACTATAAGAGAGCATCACTCTTCACTCCTGTTCTATCAAATTGCATGAGCAGTATTTTATTACGAAACTCTATCGAACAAAATAGCGAAAATATATTTAGTAATGAATGGTATCTCACTAGTCTTGAAGACAAATTTAACTAGATGACAGTTATTAAAGAATGCTTTCCATTATTTCCTGTGGGCACATTTTTAAGATCAACTGTAACTCTACAGTGATGGACCTTAGATTAGATTTTTGAACCGATTTACTCGTTATAAATGTAAACTTATTCAAAAACATAATTTATTCCTTAGCTGAGTAAGATCGACGTGCAAAAGCAAGCAAGTAGTAGAACTTGCGCCAAATATTTTCAGACGCTAAATCGAATCAATTTTATTTTCATCTAAGTAGAACCATTTTAAATAGTATATCATTCTAGTTTTCTGTTATTGAAGTTTTGAACTTGTGCCAATTTGTTTTCTATTTTCAACCACCAAAATACAATACTTTTTACTTTTCATTGATCGGGTACAATAGAAGCAAACTTTTGAAAAAATTATGCTCAAATTTAATTCAAAGGACAGTTGAGAATAAAGTTCATTACATTTTTCTATTTTTCATTTTTTACGGAATGGATTCTTCTCTTTAAGCCAAAATGGAAATTAGCTTGACAATAGTTTTATCTATTGTGGGTATTTTTGTGTTTATTATTGGTGGTTTAGCCTGCAATTTAATCCGAATTAAATGGGTACCTTCGAAAAACACATTGATACCAACGAGTGAACGGTCCACATCGATTACTGCTCTATCAACAACAACGCCTTTTCCACAAACAATGTTCAATGGTGCATGTGGTGATTACCAACAACAACAACAAACGGTGCGAGAAAAACCTTGCCGATTTCTATCTCAAATTCATCACCAACATTCAAAAGGTTTTTTAATCAGTAGTAAAAATACAGATGATTCATCCAATAATACCACGTCTCATTATCAATCTAATTTTATTTTGCCAACAATAATAAATAAATTGATGAATGTTAAAAATACAAATGCACCAATACAGCTGACAAGTTCATCGGAACTATCGCCATTAGCTTTATGTCAACAAAAAAGGCAGCCATCTGAAACTGAACATACAATTGTAGATGTATCAGACGAAGACTATGAATATAAGTTGAATTAAAAACCTTTACTTTAACATTACCCGAATACCTTGATTTTTTTCATGTGAAATTGAATGCCGAAAAGGTTAAAAGCACCGTCTTTCTTTCAGAAATTTTGTTCCACTTTAGAAAATGGCACATCCGATCAAGGTTATGTATACCATGTAATTGATGATTTTACTGTCAACAAATTTTGGTTTACTTCAAATAAGAAAATTTCACGAAAAAAAGTGGAATTGAATAAAGAATTAGAACATCTTATATGATCTAACAGAGCAATTTAAAGATTTTTATCTACAATTATAGGAGAAAAGAACGTTATAAGAACTTTGATAAGACTGTACACTTGTATGAATGTCTACATTAATAGAAAACTCAATTTTCACTTTAACGAACTATTGGAATGCCCAAATTAGGCATACACCGGTTATAACCGGTATATTTCACCGTTTTTCTAAAACGGATTGCATGAAAAGTACGCATATTAAATTTTTTCCAACAACTGAGTCTTGTAGAGCAAACATTTTTCTACAAGATGAGCTATGGCGGAAGTCTTTGTGTTTTCTATTTCTGTCGTAATGGCTTTTCGACGAAGAGCCTGAACCGGTTATAACCGATTATGGAGTTTTGCAAACTCTTTTTTCTATAAGTACTGGATTCAGGCGAAAAGTATCGCCATAGCTCATCCTGTAGAAAAATGTTTGTTCTACAAGATCCAGTTGTTAGAAAAAATTCAATATACGTACTTTTCATGCAATCCGTTTCAGAAAAACGGTGAAATATACCGGTTGTAACGGGTGAATTCCTAGCCCAAATGCTAATGTAAGAATTAAATTCAAAAACTTCTACAGAACTGTTTAATGAGAATCCCATGCAGTTTCTTCCAGAATTTTCGTTCATAGAGCAATTTATCATCAAAAACGGGAGTGATAAATATTAACAGGCTATTTTTAAAATAAAGAAAAATAACTTTCGTAACTCTTTGGATTCGATTAAAGCACTTATACGGATGAAAACGGTCAACGTAAACTAACATCACTCTGGCTTCAAAAGTATTGTTAGATAAATTTTTGAGACAAAATGACAAATTTAGTAGAATCAGCAGAAGGCACCAGAATGATCAAAGGCAGAATTATTTTCTTCTGTTCAGTATTATGTACGACATCTATTTTCATGCTATTCAAAACTATTTGACTGAGAATGAATTATTTGATAAACAAAGATGAACATACCAAAAATCTTTCTTTTTATCAAAAATGTCAAGCTTTTCAAAAAAAAAACTAAACAAATTAGAGGTTTTGAAAAGTACATTGACAAGGGCGAATTCGTAGAGTTAGGCCTGGTCTACACTACTACTACACATTTTTTTCTTCGGAATGGCTATTGATACCCCTGGGGTGACAGCAGGGAACTATTGACACCCCACCGAACTGGCAGCAAGGAGCTATTGACAGTCCAAAATGCACCTACACACTGCATAAATGTGTTATTCAAAGTGTTATGTTGAATTAGTTCCGAAATTGACGGCCTATGAGAGGTGATTTCGGGTGAGTTGGGTGGCTGTACATGAGAGTGAGCCACTGGAATACTTCCATGTTACCTGGAGATGATGGTCTTTATTAAATAACACATTTTTGCAGTGTATAAGTGTATTCTGGACTGTCAATAGCTCCTTGCTGCCAGTTCGATGGAGTGTCAATAGCCCCTTGCTGCCAGTCTTGGAACTGTCAATAGCTCCCTGCTGCCACCCCGGGGGTGTCAATAGACCTATCCTTTTTTCTTTTAACTCTGAGATAATTGAAAGTTAAAGTTGAAGGTGTCTACACTATAAAGTTAATGTTTCAATAGAATTTCAGTTCTACCTGTACCACGGTGAACAGTAGTGCAGGATAATGCAGCTATGCAATAAGATAGTCGTGTACAAAGCAGATTCTACCATAAACTTATTACATGTATTCGGCTGACACACAACTATAGAGAAAATATTGAAATTCAACAACCTAAAGATTATGAACAATTAACTCGTTTTTCTATTAGGAATTGATAAAAGGGCACTTTCCAGCACAGATCGTAAATCTATTTTATGTTGTCATCGTAAAGGCGCGAGCAGGTTTTTCATTGGTTTTCTCACGCAAATTACTGTTGGTGCTTTAACTTTAAGTGATGTCGATAACATCACTTCACAAGTCGACAATCTTGAGATCATTTCTGACGGAATCTTGATGTCAGTACTTTCTTCCTGAGAAATGCATTTTTTTCAGATTTTCAGTCAGAATCTGATGGTGTGTAGTCATACGACCATAGCTCGTACAATCAAAAGCCAGTTGGGTACTCACCAATACACTTGAAATTAAAAAAGAGACTCATTTTTGCGGGACTTATTCTAGTACATATTATAGCCGATATCAAGACTTTTTATAATGTATATTC